TTTTGCATTAAATATTGAGGATAAAAAAGACATTTAAAACTTTGCAAAGTATGGTAATATCTATTCATAAAGGGGACCTATGAATGGGGATTACCAAAAATTGTGCAATTTGGATTACCATTGTAATGATCATTACCATGAAAAAGTCCAACCAAACACAAACATCATGGTAATGCAAATTGGCTTGCTATCGCAAGAATGCAGTGGGGTTGAATCAAACGGACTTGTAGTCTTTATCCATAAAAAATTACATAATTCACATGAAAATATTTATCCTGAATTATAATATCACATATATCAAGATATCACATCATTAATCAATCACAATTAGAATCTTTGGAAGTAATCTTATCCAAGATATTATTACGTTTTAAATGTAGGTACTTCTCCTAATAGATATTTAAATTTTAGTTTGTTATTGTGAAGAACTAGCTCATTCTCTTAAACTTAACCCTATTAATCAGTAGTACGATTTTTTTTATTATTATTAACAATAATAATGTTTAGAAAAAGTAAGCAACGTGGATTGTTTCGTGAACACTACAAAGTAAAAAACAAACAACTCATCTCAAGCGTGAAACCAAACCATGCAATCTTGTCTTGAGTTGGAATGGGCGTTGGAATGGTTGAAGAGTTGAAAGCAATTAGAGTTGATAAGGGGGAAAAAAAGGAAGAGATCAGAGTTTCGTACATTCTCTCGAGACTTGTCCAATTCTGAATAAAATCAGGTATCTTCCCAGAAAATAAATTGTCTCTAATTCCACTGCCATTATGTGCGATGCAAGAAGGAAAACTTACGCTAGCTCTGGTGGGATCGTTTCCGTGAGCCGATTTCCGAAAACCGAACTAACGTAATTAAGAACAACGCATCCATTACCAGATTCATGTTAACTAGACGAAACTATAATCATGTTCTCTAAACTCGATCAAAATCAAAATGTGAGAGAGGGGAGATTACATTATGGCAGGTTTCGTGGAGCCCCATTCCCCGAGGGATTTTGCAGCTAAGGTAATTGCGAGTGAGATCGCTACATATGCGCATAAAAGAGAAAGAAATCAATTGATCGATGATGGCGCAAAGCTCACTGTCACTAAATGTGAGAGTTTAAGTTGAGTCCCAAAAAAAAAGGTGAGAGTTTCAGTTTAAAAATGGGTTAAAATGCAAATTTGTCCCGAAAAATTTTGTTTAGAAGAGCTGAGCACCCAAATTTTTGAGTGTGCAAATTTATTCCTAAAAGTTTAAAATTATAACAGTTTTGCCCCTTATGTTAAAATATAATATTGATTGTGAATATTTTTAATAGTACAGGCCAAATTTGTTATGGTTCTAAACTTTCAGGCAAATTTGCCTCTCAAATTTTTTTGGAGTATTTGGCGCTCATGAGTAAAAACTGTTAAAACAAATTTGCTTGTTAACCTATTTAGAAAACATACATTTGTGTAAGGTAAGGTAGCCCTGTTAGTTCTTGCGGTAGGGTCTCAAAGAGATTTTGTGATTTCAGTTGATCGCACATTCATCCCACCATGAAGACAAAGATTGTCAAATTAAACAATAACGAACAACATTACAACAATGTGTCTGTTTGGGTCAGCGTTTGCTGGCCCAAACACTGCTTATAAGTGCATTAAGCCTTATGGGCTGTTTGGAAGGATTGTGAGGGGATCTAATATGGGACCAAAAGCTGGTAGTAAACGTCGCTTTTGGAGAAGCTAAGTTTAGGAGTTTATGGGTATGTTTGGATTGGCATTGAACAAAACTAACTTCTAACCCAACTGATTTTTGTAACTGAAGTTAAAGTAAAAATCAGTTAGAATATATTTAGATAGGTGCTTTTAAAAAGTCAGTTGAAAAAGTTAAAAATTGTTTAGATGATTAATAGAAAAGTTAGTTTACTTGTAAAATAACTGAAAAAGACGTGGACTTTATTAAAAATAGTGTTTGATATTTTATATTTTTAATGTGATAATATTTAAAAAAAACCTAAAATTATTATGATAAAATAAAAATAGTTTATTTGTGAGATTATAAAATAGAAATACTTGTTACCGAGATAATTAAACATATATAATGAATAAATATGAATATAGCATTGGAAAAGTGGAGAGAGAAAGACAAAATGTGGGTCTCATTTTTTATCATGTTTTATTATTTATTAATACTCATACCTATTTTGGTAATTTTATAAATAAACTTGCTTTTACTCAATTATAATTCAAACAATCTTTTACCAATCTCACTTTTACAAACTAATTTTTTGAAACTCTAATTCAAACATAATTCACCTTACTCAATTTAACTTTTACCTAATCTTACTTTTTTAAAAGTCAGATTGAAAATAAGCTATTTTTTTCATCACCAATCCAAACAGACCCTAATGTTAGGTTATGAGTTTTGCTTTCGCGAATTATAAATATTCAGGTAAGATAGCGTCTAGTTATTTTTACAATTGAATTTCATATGAATCATTTTCTGATTCAAAAAGAGAAATATCTGTGTCGCTCGATGCTGATGACTGAGAGAGATGTCACTGATTTTACAAGATAATCTTCAATTAAAAATTATTAAAAAAAATCAGTTTGTTTCTTTAGAGAGTTACAACAATACATCATATTTACGGGGAGGAGATAGCTTTCCTGTAACATTATTGAGGGTATGTATGTTTGTATTTTTTATTATTCTCCACCTTTTAACCAAGAAGGGGAGATAGTTATGAGAGAGGATAGGAACCTTGGATACATCATATATACGCTGAAGTCCCAGTCCTTCTTTCCTTGTTTCCCATCTATCTTTCTCAAAGCTTCCACTAAACATAGAGATAGACATAGTAGGATTCATATTATATATATATATATATATATATATATATATATATGCGCGTGCGTGTGTGTACACCTTCATCTAGTGGAGTGACAACGAGCAGAGACCTTCAGATTTATCATTCCCTCCTGTTCACGATGAAAGGGTCAGAGGTTACCCGGCCACCTCATTTTCATCGTCTTAAATGGCTCCAACAACATAACGGCCCACGATTAAAGAGTATGTATGACCTGTGATGTTATGTTATTGGTGATGTTCAATCTCCTCTTCGTTAACTTGATGAGACTGATTTGAAATTTAACTAATCACCGACTTGATAAGTGGACACAATGAAAATCCTCAAATTATGACATTTTTTCAGAATACCTCAATTAATTCCCAGCATATTTTCACACGTACCAAGTGAGATCATATCAATAATTAGACTACAATTAATTAGTGCGTAATAATTGAGTAAAACAGTTAAAATTAAACGATCGATGTGACATGATTTTTTGTTGGGCTCATACATGCATGCAAAGGCTTCTGCAAATGTCCCTTTTTCCCCTTTCCGACCTTGGCCCTCTCTTTTAGTTTCTTCTCCGTTAATTAACACTTCTCATGTTCTAAATATAAAACTTATTTTATAATATAAATTATTTTTTAGTCTTATCTATAGAATAAAGGGAAAATAAATATTTGATCATGTTTGTTAGTTACTTTATTAAATTTTTAACATTTACGTACTATTTTATCTTTTATTTATTATAATCTAAATAATTATCTTTTTTGAAAAGTGCATTTATTACATAAGGATAAGGTGGAAAAGTTATTTTATTTTAATTAGCAGAGAGTTAATACAATTTAAGATTTTTCTTAGTTTGTATGAAACATGTTAAAAGTACTTTATAAATAGGATAAAAAAATATGTTACAAAATAGGTCTTATATTTAAGACCAAAAGAGTAGTTACTTATCCCCTTCTCAATTATTCATTTTGCTTAAATTTAATCATATGATTCTCTGCGGAGCCCCTGTTGACCCAACTAATTAGTTAATATTTCGTGAATATGTACGAGTACTGTTTTTCCCAGGGAATATTTTAGTTTTGGTCTTTATTCCGTGATGAATAATTTATGGCCTTCTTGATTTTCTGTCAACTTCTTCTTCGATTAGAACTAGAATTAGAAATTCGTCGTAAGAAAGAAATTATAATTATAATTAATGATGATGATAGGCCAAAAAAAAAAAAGTCCTGGGTTTCGTGTAAAGCTCACACTTGTTCGGTGAAAGCATGAGTTGGTTATATTTTGAATATTCCATAAAAAATTTTGTAGCGAATTTTTTATATAAAAAATCATTTTTACGAGAACTCTGAACAAATATTTCTAATGGAAAAAATAAAACCCACACAGTATAACAGTAACATATGATTACGAAGAGCACATGTCATGTTATGATCTCAATTAAAAAATACATTCACACATAAATTGGCAGATCCCGCATAAAAGGCTGCCTAATTAAACTAGTAACCTACCAGTTAACAACAAAAGTACGTTGCATGCATAATAAATAATGTAAAAAAAGCTTTTGCTGGTTAATACGTATAAAGACATTATTTTAAATTTTTAACCATTATATTATTTTATGCTATGTTACATCCATCTTTTTACAGGTTCCGGATAACCAATTTTTTATCTTTTAAATTATATATATATGTATGTTCGCTACATTCATGCATATATATATATATATACATATATGGGGGAAAATTTCTCTTAGAACGAATACTTATAACAGAACAAATATAAGAGTTTTGAAGATTGAGTTAGAAAAGCTTCAAATTAGTGAAATAAGAACATCACCTCCTACAAGTGTTCTGTGAGTGTAAGTTGTAAGACTAAGACATTTTTAAAAAAAGTAAAAAGAAAAGTTGGAAAATTAGTGAGAAAACTTGTAAAACTAACAATTTTCATAGAATTTTAAGATTCTTGATATAAATAAGTCCATAAAAATTATTCCTTTGTAAATATTTTTCATCATTAATACTACCTTTCATTAACTAATAATTCTGATATTTAATATAAAACCTAACTTATAATTTAAAATAAATTACAATTTATTGCTCTCCTTGCCTCCAATCAAAATCTTCCCAATTCTAAATTTGCCTCTGCCCTTTGTCTCTGTGTATATTTCGTTCTTCATTCTCGACACCTCTCCTTCAGAACCAACTTTGCGATGTCAAGCTCCAAACTTGTCTCTGTTTTCTTCTTTGGATTTTTGCTTCTCTGTTCCTTCACAGACTCTCCTGCAAGCGCTCAACTTATACCCCAAGATGAAGGTACTTTCTCCATTACTGCTCTCTGGTTTTCATTCGACTCTCGTCTTCATCTTTTTTTCCTTTGGTCTTCTGCTTGAAAATGTTTCTTTCTCGTTTCTCAAACGTTTTCAATTATTGGAAACCGCAGAAACTCTGCGATCTCGTTCTTGTCTTGTTTATTCACAGCCCTGCCGAAAGAAACTACTTTTAAACTGATAAACTCGTGTTCTTCATCACTGTGAAGATTGATATAGAAAGCATAAGAAAGGGCGAATATATTAACGATTTACTAGAAATTGTTTAATAGTGCAAGTGGGTTTGAAAAAGATTAAACTTTTGCATCATATTCCTCTGTTTTTAAACTTTGATCACTTGTTCTGTGTCTGGGATCCTGATGGGTGTTTCTTGATCCATGAGGATTCACAGTTCATAAATCTTACCGGAATCATCTTATTTTCCGGCCATTTACTCAACCTGTTAAAGTTCTGATTGTAACTTGCGGTATAGTTTCATGTTGTTTCTGCATTCATCTGCTTCTAATGGCGGATTCTGAATCATATATCAGTCTGACTCGTCTTTCCTTTGACCCTAATTTGCTGGGATTATGCTATTTTACTGGTTGGGTTTATTATTTTTAATTGTTTTGGATCATAATTGATGTACTTCAATGGAGGCATGGTGAATTGGCAACGTAATGTGAAACCGCTACCCTCTTTGTCCAACAGGGGATCACAGTACTAGAGGCGTCACTGTCATTTTTGGTTTTTTCCGAAAACATCATCTGCACCTCCAGCAATCAAAATTTAATGCATTAATTGATAATATATATATAATTGGTCTAATTCAAATAATTGAGAAAGCATCAAACTGATGATATTCTGAAAGCCGAACAGATAAAGTATGCTATTTATAGTGATTGAAAGTGAAATATTTCACAAATACGTGTGGACCCCAATGGCCAAACATACAGTATAAGCTCTGAAACTATAACAATTATTTATCTTTGAAAACCACTTGTCCTTTCTCGGATTTACAACGTTGGATTGCTTTTCTTTTTGGTTTTACATGAAAGACTTTTGTTTCCCTTTGAAACTAGCGTGCGTCTACCTATACCAAGTGTGAGAAACCAGCATATTTTTTTAGATGAGTTTAATTACAGAAACTCATTAGAATTAGGGTCACTACTCATCAATAAAATCCTTGAAATTCTAACTCATAATTTTATAAGTTATAATATGACTTTTTACTAATTAGACTAATTATTGCTCATAAAACAGCCATATTTTTTATAGTTTATGAGTGTGAATTTTGTCAAATACATATATATAGATGCATAAGAGCTGAGAAAACGAGTTGAGCCCGTTTAAGTCGAAGGCCAGACTTGTATTTTGGAGTTTTAAAAGGGAAGTTGGGTTTAAAAGGGCCAGCCCTGTAGGACCGAAAAAGAAATGGGCTGGCCCCTTTAAGCCCGCAAATTTTTTAAATTTTTTAAATTTTTTTAATTTAAAAAAGAAAACCCCAACGTTTTAGACATAGCATACTCTTGGTTTCACTTACCCTAGCTGCTCACACAGATAGCATTCACAAAAAAAAATAGAATCACTATAGTTGTTGGAAAAATAAACAAAAAAACATGAAAATTGCAAAATTTAAAACTTGGTATATTCACAAAAATGTATTGTTATTTATAAGTTGTCAAAATCTGTTAAAATACTGTATGTGTAATTTTTACAGTCTTTATTTGTCATTTTCCTATATTTTTTATACTTGAAATAGAATTAATTAAAGAATCTTTTGAATTAAAATAAAGATCTATATCATTTTTATAGTTAAAAACAAATTTAGAACTAAAGATGATTGATTCTTTTCTTTTTTGTCGGTAGGACAAATGATTATTCTTTATTATACTATGTTTGTTAGTTAAACTTTGTTGTTAATTATTTATGATTAAACCAGATCATCCGCATTGTAATTATTTATTTAACTTAGTGCTTATTTAGTTGTTTATGTTTGTCCTCTATTTAGTTTGTATATTCAATAGACTCTATTACACTGTGATATATGCTTAGATATGATGATGTTTATGTTTGTGTTGTTTCATTTTTATTATTTCGATAAAATATGCAAAAAATAAAAATAAAAAAAGACATTTTAGTTAAAAGGGCCAAAAACTTGCGGGCCGGCTCGAGCTTGTCATCTCATGGGTCGGGTTTGGAAAAATAGTTCATTCTTTAGACTCGGGCTTAAATAGCCGGCCCGTTTAAGCCTGAGCCCATGACGAGTCTACAAGGCCAGCCCGTTTTCCCCAGTACCACCAGCTACTTTCCGCCATTATCATAACCCTATTCAATGTTTTTTGTTTGCAATGAGTCGGAAAAAAATCCTATCAAATTCTCTGAACCTTAATTTGCATTACATGTTTTGTAGTTCAATATATCTATCTGAGAAATTTAATTATCACTATTAAATTATTATTTTTAAAATTAAGAGTGTCATTTATGATACCTAAAATAAAAATGAAATGAAATTACTGTTGGGAACACAACAATATATATATAATTTGACCCTATAAACTTCTTATTCATAGCTGGCCTATCAGAGTATATAAATAGAATCTAAACTCCGCGTATTGCTATAACTAGATGTGAACTTCATTTATTACATCAAATGTGTTTAAATGAGCTGCGATTTGGTCAACACTTTAGTTGACAGCAAAGATGTTCCCTTTTTTTTTTTTTTAATGCATCTGATAGCCATTTTTCACGATAATATTTTAAATTAAAAAAATGTGAGTATAATCTTTATATTTTTATTTTTAGAATTTGATAGCAATGTAATAAGTGCATACATTCGTATTATATATGTGTGTATACATGTGATGGGTCGCATGTTTTATAAGATAAGCCTCGACATGAGAACGAAAGCGAATTTTATTGTTTCTGTCTCCTTTGTGTTCAGGGCAATCAATTTGAATATGCAAACTAGTTTGAATGATTTAATTTTTAATTTTTTTTTTCCATCTTTATCTTTTGTAAGAAAATAGGAGACATACGGAAATATACAATAATTAAATAATAATATTTAATGCTTTGATTATATAGGATAATAAAAAATTTGGGTTTTTTTAATAGTGCCACGGTGTAATATTGCCAACAATGTTTGCTTGGTCACGTTACATTGAAAAGGAGGGGGAAAAAAAGGAAAAAAACAAAGGCACGGGTGTTAGTAGTTTCAATTATCAAATCTGAACCGTTCATATCTTATTTGGATGATCCAAATTTAAAATCTTTAATTAATTACTTTTAAATAAAAGAATATTTTTTGAAAGAATGATAGTTAAGAGATTATCCCTATTTTAAATTCAATATATATTAAAATAATTATCCTAAATAAATAAAAAAAAGAAATCAAATCTAGACCCTTCCAATGAAATACGAACGATTCAGATTTTATAAACTTAGGGTATTCATTAATGTGATGAGTACTGAAACTGAAAGCTTCTCAAAATTATAATATATGCTATTAAAACTCAACTTGAGTCAAACCAATATTTAATCTTTCTGGCAAAAAAAAAAACCAATATTTAATCTTAATTTAGTCAAGAGTTTATAGAGTCAGATTTTATGTTTTTTCCCCTTGGTATCAACCCTGAAACATTTTCAATTTTCAATTTAAATATTATTATTTTTAAGGTTACATGTAAATATTTTTAATATATTTGAATTAAAATATACTTTTCTGGTTTTATTTATAGGGCGAAGAAAGAAGACATTTTTTGATCATATTTATAGGACAGTAAGAGAAATTTTTTTGTATGGATTTACAATTTAACCCTTCATTTATTATTATATTCACTTTATTTGTATAAGGTATAATATATATTAGATGGAGATAAAGTTAGAAATATGTTGAATTGTAAACAAAAATTAATGAAATTTAGTGTTTTTCTTGACCTGTGTAAAATATGGCAGAAGTGGTTTATAAATAGAATTGGAGGAGTATTATTTTAATCATGTTCATTTTTGCAATACAGTGAAAACTCTTCAGGCAATATCTGATAAATGCAACAACGTAAATTGGACGGTTACACGGAGATCTTGCATTAATGCGACGGCTGGATTTAATAATTACATGATTAATATGTCCCTACCCAGTCCTCACATCCAAATTGCCAGCAATGTCACTTGCGATTGCTCCTTCCAAAGCGGCACCGTTTGCCATGTCACTAATCTGTATGTGATCTTCTTAATTCCTCCACTTACCTTTAATTTTGCTGCTATACTACTTTCCATACTTAAGCTAAATAATTAATTTAAAAATATTAAAAAATATTTAAATTAGTTATTTATAATAAATGGGTGTTAATTTTCCTAAAATACATTTATTAATCAGTATTGAAACTATCCTTTAATAGAATTCTGAACATATGTAACCAATAAGAATATTTTAAGAAAAATTATAAATTTGAGAGTTAAAATGAATTGAGGTTTTATATTTAGGATTAAAATGAACATAAAAGTGAATGAATAATTTCTTATAAAATAATAGTATTTAATATTACATCATAGTTTTTTTTTTGGGGTCAAAATGTTACATCGTGGTTTAGATTAGACAATATTTTCCTAAAAGTACATGATCAGGTTGCTAAATTAATAGGTTTGGCAATTAATTCATTATTAAGAGCTAATATTGATATTTTAATTCATAATTTTAAAAAAAAAGAACTATATACTCAAAATATGTAAATAAAAAAAATCTTTTGGTCTATCTATTATTTTACCATCATGAAAATTTACATTTTAAACCATTTAAAAGCAAATGATTCAAGTCATATCAGTGAGGTTAACAAAAGTTTTTTCATGAAAAACTTGAACAAATAAACTCAGTTTTCTCAATTATACACAAACCCACATGACCTCTTTTAAGTTGTATGCTGCATTTTTTAATGATTAGACGTGTTTAACTAGTGATAGAACAATTTTTGAATGGTAGTTTGTTGAGAGGCCTGAATATATCTGGAGTTATCCCCACTGAACTTGGAGATCTCACCCAGCTGAATATCCTGTAAGTGATCACCCGCACAGATACACGCGCACACAGAGATAGATATCTCTCTCTCTCTCTCTCTGCACACACAAGGGCTTATTTGATTGCATCATCATTGTGAACCCATACACGAGAGTCTCAAAAAGACTGACAGGAACTTACTATTGCCTTGAGCAGTGATCTCCATTACAACTATCTGAATGGTACAATTCCAACGTACTTTACTCGCATCCCTATTACCAATCTGTAAGTTGTCAAATATGAACAAAGCATGCAAATAGGGAAGTTCCTCAGTTTGGTCCCGTTGAAACTAAATAATTTTCATGTGTGATGTATTTTCAAAATTGAATTCACTATATACACTTCAGGGCCATTGTGGGGAATCGAATTAGTGGTTCAGTTCCTTCTGTGTTTGGTGAAATTGCTACTCTACAGGAGCTGTAAGTTTTGGAGTCAAATCCACTCATTTCAAAATTGTCAAAAAAGAAAAGAAAAGAAATATAGTTGATATAGAAGCTGAGTAAGCTTTTATTGATGTTATAGGGCCTTGGAAGATAATCGGCTCGGAGGACATCTTCCTCAAAGTCTTGGAAATTTGCGTAACTTACGAAGATTGTAATTTGTCCTTTTGATTTTTTCCATTCTCTATTTCCTGCATTTTCTTTTGGTCCTTCCTAATATTTGACTTTGTTTTCGTATCAAAATGCAGACTTCTTTCTGCAAATAATTTTACAGGGATAATACCAGAAACGTTTGGAAATCTCAAGAACCTTACTGATTTGTGAGTGACATCATGTGATGCAACTGTAGTGTTTAGTTTTTAATTCTTATCAATTTTATTTTCATATTTAGTTAAGTCCTTGTTAAATACGGAGATGAGATCACTCCTCACAACTTCTGCAGTAGGATAGATGGGAGCACATTATCAGGGAAGATACCAAGTTTTATTGGGAATTGGACAGAATGTATTTATTTGTGAGTATCCTTGAATTTAAAGATTTCTTATTGTAGTTCGTACTATTCCCTTTCTAAGAGAATTTTACGTTTTTGTCAGGAATATGCAGGGCACAGGCATGGAAGGGCCCATTCCTTCCACCATATCTTTGTTGAAAAATTTGAAAGAATTGTGGGTTGCTTATTTTTCCTTCGAAGCAGCAGCACATATGTTGTAAATTGTTTTGGAATTTACTCTTCAATAAATGGTTCTTTCCTCTTTAATTAAAGAGACATTTTTATTTCAGGAGAATATCTGATTTGAGTGGAAACACAACCATGAAATTTCCTAATTTGAAGCATATGAAGATTTTGGAACGACTGTGAGTTGAAAACTTTTCTACCATTATGCTAAAATCTATATTATTCATTTGGGTTTTGTGTGAAGTGGCTTATAATTCTCCTTTCTATGACTTCAGGGTACTGAGAAATTGCTTAATTACTGGTGACATTCCAAAGTACATTGGCGAAATGAAAAACTTGAAGACTTTGTAAGTTGCTGTTTTGACTGGGCAGTTAAAGAGATTGTCAAGATTTTCAACTCTTTTATATTTAATGGATGCATCATTCTCTCACCATTTCCTAGTATAATAATTGATTTAAGACTAGCTAATTGATTATTGGTCCTTATTTACTAATTTGCGTCCGAGTTACCTCATTTTCTTGCAGAGACCTGAGTTTTAACAGATTGACTGGTTCAATACCTAACTCATTTCAAGAGTTGCATTTTAATCACATGTAAGCGAACATTAGCATTTGTTGGTAAGAAGTGTTAAAGAAAATAATGTGGATATCTTATCAATAATAATCATCAGTGGGATGGATTTAGTGCCTTATTTTTTAAAGAAGGGTTTGGATGTTATTGGTCCTTTTTTTTTTGGTTAAACTATGGGTATTCGGGCAATCTGGACACTGGGCTTATTTGGCCCAGTATTTTTGTTCATAATGACTGATGTGTCTTGTGACTCTGAAACCACAGACCGTCTCTTTTTTTGAACGGAAAATTTCAACTGAAGTAATGAGGATTCTAGTGAAATGGGTTGATTTGTGACATAGTAACATATGTTCTTGAAGTCATGCCACAAATCGCATCCTATCTTCAAGACAAGAGTGCCTATGTTTTGGTTTTGTAGCTATACATCTAATTTGGCAGGCTAGGAATGATGTTATCTTCAAGCATGAAAGTTCCAGTTGCGATAGGTTATGTTATAGGGTGATCAACGATCTCAAAGTTAGATGGAAATATCTGTTAACGAATAGGAATAGACATACAAAGGCTATATGAGCGAGATTTAATATTCAGGAGAGCCTGTATGCTCCTTCTTTTGATGTAAATAGATTTTGAAATGAATATAAGTTTTCACTTTTTTCAGAAATGATAATTATCAATAAGACTAGGGGACTAAAGTTAATTGTGGATGCAGGTTTCTGGCAAACAATTATCTGAATGGAACAATTCAAGAATGGGTGGTGGAGAACAGAAATAATATGTTAGCCTATTATTCTCTTAATATTTCTCCATTTTATAATTCTAGAGTGACAAACTCAATTATTTTTATATTTTTTGATATCTTTTATATGGGTTTTGTCAACTTAATTGGTCCTTTTTATCTTAATTGATTGTTAATTGATTTAATATATTTTATTTTGAATTATTAATTTTTAGGGGCAAAATTGTCATATTTTGGTTTAATTATGATTAATTAATTTTTAAGGACAATTAATGCTACCTTATCTTTAAATTTTGTTTGCAGGTTTTTGGAAGATTTAAAAATAGAAATTAAAAAAAAGAAATAAAAATATAATAAAAAATAAATTAAAAAAATAATAATAAAAAGAGGGAGCAAACGTTGCGTTTTGCTCCCCCTAACATAACTTCCCTAAATTATTCAATTCATGAGGGGGGATTGGCGGAAGAGAAGACGCCGAACGAGGAAGTGGTGCCGTTGCCGGGGAGCTAAGAAATTGGTTCCCTAGTAATTAAGTGTCAAGTAGCCTTGATTGGGGTTCATTTGTTGAGCCTTTTTAGTTTTCATTTATGTTAGTTTTTTTTTAGTAGTTTGCATTTGTTTTTTTTGTTTTTCATGGCTTGGTTTAATAGCAATCATGATCTACTCTCGCATTCTCAATTTTTTGCAGGAAATAGTACGTGGAATGAAACACATTCTCATTCAACATGCTCTCAAGAAATTGAAGAGTTGTTACAACAGTTGGACTCCTTCCAAGCTCAACTAGAGTCTCAAACGCCTAATCACATCTATGCTCATGACACCTCTTGGATGAACCATCATCTACATCAATCACCTAATCCATCACTCCCACCTCACCAACCATACTTTAATCATATATCTCCACCGTATACATACCACCAAGAACCACCTCCTTTTCCATATGAATACTACCACCAACCCTCGTCCCAATCCAAGTACCATTCTCTCCCCCAGTCTCATGAATATCAATTCAATGAACCTGACCCATTTCTTACTATTCCTAAGAAGGAACAGATACAATTTTTAAGAGAAGCTTACGACCGTTTAAATTCATATTACCATGGATTACTTGAAGAGGGAGAGATATCTGGGATTTCTAAGGAATTAGAGGAAGAGCTAGAAGAATGTCAAAGTGCATTGGGAAAGTTCTTGAGTGATATAGCGCGAATTGAGTCTAAGATTGGGAAAGATGAATCAAAGTGTCTAGATTCACTCATGCAAGAGGCTGAAATGAAGCAAGAACATCTACAAACTCACAAGGACTCGTGCCCTACATCAGGTAATATTGCTCCTCTTCTTGAGGAGATTGACCCTTGTACTAGAACTACTATTCCCGTTGAAGTTATTGATAATGTGAGTGATGATGAGGTGGATGAGGAAATCATAGTTGAATCCCCTCAAATGTTTAACAATAAAAATTCTCACTTGAACACTTCTAATAGTAGTTGTTTAGTTGATGATACTGCTTACACTGTCACTGCTTCTTTGTATGAAGAACATGCTTCTCTTTCTAGTGCTAGATTAGATGGTGCAATTGATTCTGATTTGAACGAACCTCTATCTTGTTCTTATAATGCCCACACTATATGCATGGAGTGCATTGATAACAAGTATGATATACTTGTTGGGTTGCAAAAGCAGAACTTTAGTAAACTGTGTGCATCGCCTTCTAGTACTAAAAGTGCTGACAATATATAAAGCATGATATTGATGTGAGTTGCTTAGATGTTAATCCTGTGGAGAAATGCGAATTTGAACATAGCCTTGGAAATTATCTTTCTGAAAATCCCATTGAGTTGCATGCTTCTAATGAGTTAGTAGGAAAAGATTCAAAAATTTTAAAAGACAAAATTGTAAATAAGAATGAATCTTTTCGTCTAATTCTTTCTTGTGACTTGCCTCCTGATTTAAGTAGCTATGTAAATAATAATATTGCATTGCATAATCATATTGTGCATGAATCTTCTTCTTCTTCCACTCTTTTTTCACCCACTTCTTGTGTTAGTAAAAGTGATGTGATGTACTCCAACCACTATCAGTTGGATTCTTCATCTTCCGCTTTGCATACACAAGACATTTTTGAAAATATTTCTGATTATTTGATTCCTATAGAAAGGAATCCTATTGACTTTCTTGGGTGTGATATTTACTTGGAAGATTTTGCCACTCAAATATACCTATGCTACTCTAGATCCTTCTAAGTTTTTCTTTTTGGACTAGATACTGCTGCTTGTTCAATGTTTCCCTTGCAGGAACCCTCACCACCAAGAAATGTCAATGGAGAAGTGAGCACACTAAAGAGATATATGTTTCTCATCCGGGATGAGAACTTCTCCTACAAGAGTTTGAAGAGATTTCGTTCTAAAGGTTGTCCCTTTCCTTCCTTAACTCTTATCTTTTGAATTACTTGCTTGTTTTGTGAGATAAGTGTGGGGGAGGGACATAGCCAGTAGTAAAAGGTAGCTTGTGTTTTGTTTTATTGTTTGTTATTAGTTGCATGCAGTACTTTTCCTACCTTGTCCTTGCACATTTTGAGCTTCCAATTGTTCATATCTTTAGTCTAAGCTTGCATTGAGGACAATGCAAGGATTAAGTGTGGGGGAGTAAGTGTTATGTTTTGTTAGGATTTGTTTTCAAAAAAAAAAAAAATTGCCTTTGGATTTGATCTGGTTTCCTAAGTATTGCTGCTATAATTGTTCTCTTCTTTGCCTTATTGGTTGATTTTTGAATTGCATCACATGATTTGAGAGTGATTCTTGCTTGAGAATTTTGCTGCTAGTTTCTATGTCCTCTTGTTTTCATTCGCCTCAGTGCTCTGCACTGCTGTATGGGCGAGTTGCTGTTCCCTCTATTGCTGACTTGACTTTTGTAATCCTTGGGCACCTCTTTTTAAAATCTTTTTGCACAATGCTTGTGAATATTGCACGGCTGAGTTTGATTGCATTTGATTTGAGTGATTTCTGTTCTTAGTTGATTAGCATAGTAGAATACTTTTGGTGCAGTGTTATTAACCTTGTTTCATAGCTTGATCCTTAAGAAGAAAACATTTTAGAGAAAGCCTTAATGGAAGGATTGTTGAGCCATATATTTTTTCTCATCTTGTGTGATTTTCACCTAGTTTTGGTTAGCCTCTAGAACTTGTTTAGATTCTTTTTCAAAGCTGCATTAATACCTAGATTTGTGAAGATGATAGGGGCATTCATTTCTAAACCTTTACCCAAACACAAACCACTTCATTTAACCTTTGTTCACCCCTTTGAGCATTCACTTTCATTCCATTCACTACTTTTTAGCAAATGTTTTGCATGAGTTATCTGATTTTTCATTTTGAAAAGTACATCATAATGTCTATATCTTTGCCTTCTTGGGTTTGGATGCCAAAAAAAAAAAGAGATAGAAATAGAAAAAGGCAAGAAAGAGAAGAAAATGTTTAGAAAAAGCCAAAGAAAGAAAGTTATAAAAAAAAAACAGAGAGAAAAAGAGAAAATAAGTTGCAACAAAAGAATAAATTTGAAATAAGGCATTCCATGGTGGTTTGAAGAGCAATGATTTCTGTCTCAAAAGGTTAAAATCTGCACTTTGGTGTTCTTTTATGATTGTACTTAAGCTCACTTTGAGTTGATACTTTATTACTCATGCATTTCATTTGTTAGTCCATTTTATTCATTTGGCCATAGTTTCCAACATTACAACCCTTCAAGTCCCCTTGATCATGAGTCTAAGGTATGTTAGTAGTGGAGATATTAGAATCTCTACAAGCTTATGGTAGGTGCTAATCTAGGTGGATTGAGTGAAATTTTTCCCATTTGAGAGATGAGTGAAACACTTGTACCCTATGTGAGCTCTATTATGTTTCTCTTCTTTTATCCTGCTATGTTTCTTGTGTTAATTTCTTTGCACTGAAGTATTCTATGATTGTTGATTAATTAAGAATATGCTTAGTTAGTTTTATGTTTGCTTGCATTGAGTGTCTCTATTGAATTCTTCTTTATTGATACTTTGCCCAGGAGTGCAAAAGGCTAAGTGTGGGGGAGTTGACAAACTCAATTATTTTTATATTTTTTGATATCTTTTATATGGGTTTTGTCAACTTAATTGGTCCTTTTTGTCTTAATTGATTGTTAATTGATTTAATATATTTTATTTTGAATTATTAATTTTTAGGGGCAAAATTGTCATATTTTGGTTTAATTATGATTAATTAATTTTTAAGGACAATTAATGCTACCTTATCTTTAAATTTTGTTTGCAGGTTTTTGGAAGATTTAAAAATAGAAATTAAAAAAAAAAGAAATAAAAATATAATAAAAAATAAATTAAAAAAATAATAATAAAAAGAGGGAGCAAACGTTGCGTTTTGCTCCCCCTAACATAACTTCCCTAAATTATTCAATTCATGAGGGGGGATTGGCGGAAGAGAAGACGCCGAACGAGGAAGCGGCGCACGGTCTGGCGGCGGAGGAAAAAGAAAGAGAAAAAAAACGCAGAGAGAGAGACGAGCTGAGAGGCGTGAACAAAGACTGGAGGCAAACCGTAACTGAACATTAATTACAGCAATTCTCATGGCAAACCGTGGCTGACTTCCAATTCTCTAGAGCAATGGTTATGGCTTGAACTTAGAGCTTCAAAGGGGAGTTTCAACTCTTCTAATCTTTACTTCTTTCATTATAATTGTGATTTCTAGGTCTTAGAATGAATTTTATAATGTTTGAATGGGCTGTGATTATTTATATTTGTATTGAGATTAGTTGTAGTTGTTGGAATCTTTGATTAGCATTTAACATTAAGCTGTGATTAGCTTTAATTTCTTTACATTGTACTGGGTCAGACTATGTTTTGAAATTATTGTGAACATTTAGTGGTAATTCAAGGTGGCTTGGTTATTGGACTAAAAATGTTAATTGCTTTTCTTTGATTTTCTTTTTGGCTAATTATGCTGAAACAGTTTAATTGTAAATAATTAATATGCAAGGTGGCTTGGTGTTGATTATTCTAATTAAACCGAGTCTAGGGGGTGGCCCTTAGAGTCTTTTGAATTTAATTAACTCCCAAATTAATTGAAGTAATGATAGCCTTAATCATTGTGCTAGAGGATTGCTTTTCTATTTGCTATCACTTGTTAATTCTCTTTGTTTATTTCATTCATATCCATTTGATAAACTAAAAATCCAAAAACTATTTACTCATTTTGCATCCTTTTAAATTTTGCTAATTAGTTAGTTGAAAAGAAAATCAATCCCTTTCCAACTCAATTTTTTTTTGTTTTTGATACTTAGTTGCTTAGGATTTCAAATAAAGGCTCCTCAAAGTGAAACGACCCGAGTTTTGCACTATACTGCATTGCTTGGATTTATTTTTGATTAGGAACCCCAAGGCGAACGACAAAGGCTCTCATCATAGAGTCACCTTCTATACAACTGCAAAGTCCCATATTATTGAAGAAGCTAAACTTTTAATCTCATGATATTTGCTTTCAGTGATTTATCACATAACAATTTTACTAAGGTTTCTACATCTAATTGCCAGAACTTGCAAGTGTAAGGTTCTCTTTGTTTATCAATTAGATGAGCGTGCATTTCAAATTAACCAATGTTCACTTTTGTAATTCTCAACTTACTATTATTGATGGACAGGAACTTAGCTGCTAGTCTTTCATCAGCAGGAAAAAATGCGTAATTTCTTGCCTATGGCATACTTGTTTAAAATTTAGTTTCAGTTATATCTCTTGGAATCATCGATTGAAGCAAACTACTGATTTTGTAGAACCTTCTGTTTCAAGAAGGGCCTACCTTGTCCAAGAACACCTCAATGTGAGTTGAGATTTTGTCCATCAATCATGTTTTTAACTTGTACACCACAAAAATTTTGGTAAGCAAAGCTGCGATAATTTCTCCTTGATAACATATCATAATATTTCAATTATACAGATAACTCGTTGTTCATTAACTGTGGAGGACCAAAGATGAAGTTTGAGGGGAATGAATATGAAGAAGATTCCAATGCAAATGGCATTTCGTACTTCAATATCAAAGATGACAAATGGGCTTATAGCAGCACAGGAACATATATATTTAATGATAAAGCTGATTATGTAACAAGTGTGACAAAAAATGAGTTTTCTTTGAATGTTAATGGCTCAGAATACTACCAAACAGCCCGTCTCAGCCCTTCGTCACTTAAGTACTATGGACTATGCATGCTAAACGGTAGTTATAAAGTAAAGCTCCACTTTGCAGAGATAATGTTTTCTGATGACCAAACATTTAGCAGCCTTGGTACACGCATATTCAATGTTTCAATTCAAGTGAGTGATGAAAAGAAACGCACTCTATTTGATTGTTTCAATTGCTTCTTACATTTTTATCAAATGTCTTATCTAGTTTTGCTAGAACAAAGTAGTTTCAAAGCTATAGATTTATTATTGCATTTTCACAGGGTTTGAAATACTTGAAAGATTTTAATATTGCGGAGGAAGCTGGTGGAGTTGGTAAGGGCATCACTAAGGAATTTGATGTTGATGTGAACGATACCACTTTGGAGATTCATTTATATTGGGCAGGGAAAGGAACTACTTCAATTCCCACTAGAGGTGTATACGGACCTCTGATATCAGCTATCACAGTGATGCCAAGTAAGTAGTAGTTTTCACGTTATTATATGACTTACTGTTTTCTTATAAACTACATCATGTTATGTGGTGTAAGCATTTATTCTTGGTTGCAGACTTTAAAGTTCCTTCACAAGGGCTCTCTGTTGATAACCAAAGGAATGAAAAAGGGTTTTCTGATGGAGCTGTTGTTGGAATTATGGTTGGATTATGTGTATTCCTCATACTGGTGTTACTCATTATCCTTCGAAAGAATGGTATCCTTTATGGGAAAGATTCACAAGACATAGGTAATATTGGAGCATAAAATAAGCTAATTTAGGTTTTGCTAATAAAACTTCATTAACAATATACTTTTAATTATTTTTGTCATGCTAACCAATCTTTTCATGGATAACTTTTTTCCCTTGGAAATGGGCTTTGTATTTCTACATTATGAATTTTGGTGTCTAATGTATTTTCACCTTATGCATGATCGTGAACTATCAGTATATCAATTAATGGAGATTCTAGCTCTCTAATCTTTTATTTCTTTTATAAACAGATCTTAAGGGCTTGGATCTTAAAACCGGTATATTTACCTTAAAGGAAATCAAAGCAGCAACGAACAACTTCAATGCTGATAATAAGATTGGAGAAGGAGGGTTTGGTCCTGTTTATAAGGTTGTTACAGGATGATATGTTCTATTAAAGTACATGCATGATCAATTTGTGACTCTTGCTTACCTGAAATTAAAATCCATTTCAACTTTTCTATAACTTTATTTCTTATATCAAAAAACACAGGGCATTCTCAAAGATGGCAGAATAATTGCAGTTAAGCAGCTATCTACTAAATCAAGGCAAGGAAATCGTGAATTTCTAAATGAAATAGGCATGATTTTTGCTTTGCAACACCCTTGTCTTGTTAAGCTTCATGGCTGTTGCGTTGAAGGAGATCAGTTGTTGCTCATATATGAGTTTATGGATAACAATAGTCTTGCTCGTGCTTTATTGGGTAAATTACTAAATGTTTTTGGCTTGCTTTGCTCTATGACGATCCACTATCTTATACTCTCTCCGTTCCTTATTATAAGATCCAATTTTTTGAATAGGTTTGTCCCTTTTTATAAGATCCTATTTGAGCTTGTCTGAGCATTTAATGCAATATTACCTATTTTACCCCTAATTTAATGTATTTAATACATTCTCTTTCTTCATTTATTTCATTATTACTCTCTCACATTTATCCATTTCTGTGCAGGGGTATATTTGAAAAAAAATTATATTTGCTACATATTAATTGCTTTTAACTAATTTTAATTGTTTTCTTAAATCGTGTAATTTAGTTAAAAGGATCTTGTAATAAGAGACAGAGTAGTATCTTGGTTATGTGAGAACGGAGTCTAATTCGTGTTTTTATTAAAAAACATAGGCCCAAAAGAACTCCAGATAAAATTGGAGTGGCCAACAAGACACAAGATTTGTATTGGGATTGCGAGAGGTTTGGCTTACCTTCATGAAGAATCAAGATTTAAAATTGTTCATAGAGACATCAAGGCCACTAATGTGTTGCTTGATAAAGATCTCAACTCCAAGATATCTGATTTTGGTTTGGCCAAGCTTTATGAGGAGGAAAATACACACATTAGCACCAGAATTGCTGGAACTCGGTTAGTTAATTATTAAATGTTTTTAAGTTATGTTTGTTTGGATAACACGTGGGAGATGAAAATACAAATATGGTAGTGGACATCTCCTTTGTGAAATTGATAATAATTTTAATTGAAGGTAATACAATGCAAAGAAACAAAAATGCAGGGCATTTGGCTTTACTAACTCTTATTTTATGAATGAAATTTTATTATGCAGTGGTTATATGGCTCCTGAATATGCAATGCATGGATATTTGACTAAGAAAGCAGATGTTTATAGTTTTGGAATCGTTGCTTTGGAAATTATCAGTGGCAAGATCAACACCACTCAAAAGTCAGAGGAAGAATGCTTTTATCTGCGTGATTGGGTATCCTACATCCCAATAAATTAAGTATATAGCTCAGCTTTTCCAAATTAAATTGTGTACACTGGCTTATAAGGCTTCCATTTATATGTACTGTTGTTATCAGGCACATCAGTTGAGAGACGGAGGTAATTTGATGGATCTGGTGGATCCAAAGTTGGGTGAGGACTTTAATAGAGAGGAAATAATGACTATGATTGATGTGGCGCTCCAATGCACTGAAAACAATCCAAAACTTAGGCCTACCATGTCTAAAGTGCTTAGCATTCTTGAAGGCAGGCCTGCTGATCTGGAGGTAGTCTCAGATGATGAAAGTGAGATTATGGATGATGACTTGAAATTGAAATCGGCCATGAAAGAAGAAGCTGATAAAGATGAGACTAATCAGGCCATAAACTCGTCAAGCCATGAGTGTCAGACCACATCTCAACCCTTTTCAGAAGTCTATCAGGCCAGTAAAGATTCTTCTTCCTGGGAGAAAACCAACTAGCTGTATATATCTTAAACATGGCCTCCTCAAGTTAAACATGTTTATCTTGCCATAGTTTGATGGATATATTATGTTAATATTGTACTATAAATTCTCATATGAAGCCGCGCCCTGATATATACTTCTTACTTAGAACTATCTGGAACGGATCATGTATGGATGCATTTCTATTGTGGTCGTTAGTAGACTGTAGAATTGTTAGTCTTGTTAGTTAAAAAATAATGTTTTGCTATTGATTCATCGGATCCCAAAGTATTGATGATTCCCGAATGATGTGAAGGATACCTTTATATTTAATTTAAATCATTTGTGTCTAAAATACCTTTATTTTTTTTTCAATTGAATGTGTAAAAATGATTTTAGTTATTAGGCTTGGCCCCAGTGTGAGTTAACCACGCACAAGCCTATGTTAAAGATGGTCAGAACTAAGGAACTAATACGCTGTAGCCTGAAACTCTGAATGAAATGAGATTGAACTTTCTGGATTCACCATCTTTCCCTGTTCCATCCTTAACCTCTGGCTTTGGGGCAAAGTGTGATTGATTCAGGGAACAACACAGGGACGAAGTGTGAAGGAATTAAAATGGTTGCAGTAGACACATCGAAGGAAAGAACCACAAAAGACGACTCTATTCCTCATTCCTTTATATTTCAGTCAAGGAGAAGAAACACCGCGAAATACACTTCTTTTGCTTTGGAATTTTCTCTTCAACAAATCAAGGTACGCTGATCACATATATATGACTTTTGCATTTTGAACGTAGATGCATGTTCTACCACTGCACATCGTTAGTATATGTTAATCCTTTTATCCTTAAAAAGAAGAAAAAAAAGCTGCTATCAAGAAATTGGCAACAAAAGAACGTAGCCTATGGTTAAACCATATAAATTGGTGAGTGCAAGCATTGGGCTGTGCTGCTTTTGTGTTATAATATCGTACATGTACAAACTTTAGCTGATAACAAATGCAATGTTAAGTGTTGATTGATGCCTAATATAAATCAGCCAGCTGGAGCTATAACACTAAGATTGATTAAACTTCAAAAGGATTTCTTTTAGGGGGAAAATACCACATTTGATAGTTAAAGTTTAAGTGTACATTCAGAACTTGGTATATGACTCAATGTATTCTGTTTGACATTGTATAAATAATTACTCTACGATTCTTTTTCCACAAAGCCTACTGTTCTTGTTTACTCCTTTACTAAAGAATTGAAAAATACATGCAAGTTTTCTTCCTGACTGATGAACAAATCATGCATAAAAGGAGAAAAGAGAAGAAAAGGGGGAGAAACTGAGAGAAACTATAAGAAGCAAAAGACAAATGATCTTAGTATTATTCAATAGGCTAAAAGTCTAACATCAAAATAACTTGAGGGTTATTTACAGAGCTCTAAGTGTAATTATTGAAAAGTTAAATAAGATAAACCTAAATAATTCACAAAAATAAATAAAGACAATCTATATTTCAAACAAATATCATTATTATAACATAATACAAGTTCTATAACTACGGTTTCCAACCATTAAATTTTAATCTTCAAGAAGCTTACTAGATGAAGAGAAATCATCCTTACTTGGAAGAGATATTGAGGAGTCAACCCATGACCCATCTGTTGACTTGCCTCTTTGTTCCATACTTGATTGAGAGGCTACAAATGTCTGGCTGTCATACGACAACATTTTGAACCTTGCATATTGGTCTTTGAACTTGTTTATCAGTGCTTGAATTGGAGTTTTTCCCTCAAGCATGTGCTCACTACAGATGACATGGAGGGTCTGAGGGTGGGAGATAGATTAGTGCACACAAGAGCCAAATTTAGCATTCTCATGGCTTCATCTTGGGAGTAGTTTGAACCAAGACGTGGATCCACCAACTCTAATTTTCTTCCTCTTGGAGAACATAGGCCTTCAATGACATATAAAGATGGGAAAAACAGTACCCGTACATAGTCATGACATATTAGTTGGGTCAACAGGGGCTTAGTGGAGAATCATATAATTAAATTTAGGAAAAATGAATACCTGAGAAGGGGATAAGTAATTATTCTTCTGGTTCTAAATATAAGATCTATTTTGTAACATACTTCTTTAGTCATATTTATAAGGTACTTCTAACATATTGCACACAGACCAATAAAAACTTAAACTGCATTAACTCTTTACTAATTAAAATATAATAACTTTTCAACCTTATCTTTATGTAATAAATGCATTTTTCCAAAAAGATAATTATCTAGACTCTAATAAATAAAGAACAAAATAGTATATAAATGCTAAAAATTTAATAAAGTGACTTATAAATAGGATCAAAAATTTATTTTCTCTTTATCCTATAAATAAGACGAAAAGAATAATTTTCATTATAAAATAAGTCTTATATTTAAAATACAAGCAGTGTTAATTAATAGAGAAGAAATTAAGAGAGAAGGCCAAGGTTAGAAAGCGGAAAAAGGGACATTCGCAAAAGCCTTCGCATGCATGCATGAGCCCAACAAAAAATCACGTCACATCGATCGTTTAATTTTAACTATTTTAGTCAATTATTGTGCACTAATTAATTGTAGTCTAATTCTTGATATGATCTCGCTTGGTACATGTGAAAATATGCTGGGGATTGAGGTATGATCTGAAACCGTGTCATAATTTGAGGATTTTCGTTGTATCCAGTTGTCAAGTCGGTTATTAAAGTTCAAATTAGTCTTGTCAACTTTGTGAAAGGGAAATTTAATGTCACCAATAACATATTAACATAACATCACAAGTCACACATACTTTTTAATCGTAGGCGGTTGTTGGAGCCACTTAAGACGATAAAAATGGGCTGGGGGGGTGACCTCTGACTTTTTCCTTTAGTGAAAGTACACACTGGGAGAATATTTTCACCGTACGCAAATTGATAACGAACAACTTAATCTTTTTTTTTTTTTGGTGTCAGCAACTTAATCATATGGTCTTATAAATAACTCATGGACGGTGAAAATGGAGTTTAGTTTCGCACTAGATGCGTGAGTGTGTGTGTGTGTGTACACATGCCAGAGTAAATAACGTAAACAAGAATATTCATATGAATTGTCCGATGAACTGAAACCTCAACTATCACGTAGGGAAATTATATTCCTCGAGACCTGGTTTGGTCGTACGTATTGACTCCATCTCTACATAGTTAAATTCAAGTCAACCTCATCCTCCATCAGGGCGACACGCGATCCTAGCGGTTGTTTTATTTAAATCCAGCCGTCTATCACAGGGAAAAGGTCCTCTCTCTCCCTCTCACACACACAAAGCAATTAGATTTGTAAGCAGAGCTTTTGAGGGTGCCTTGGTTTTAAAATAACACTCCATTCAGTTTAGAGTATAAGATAAACTTTATCTATTTACGTTTATCAAGAAATTAATTAAAATCATCTTAAAATAATAAATATGTAAGACATGTATTTTTTTTAAATATACTCTTATTAATAAAAAGAATAAGTAAAAAAGAGCAATAAATAAATTAAAAAAAGAGAATATATGAGGATAAAATTAAAAAAAACTCATTAAATACTTAGACAAAAGTAAATGTTATCTTATAAAAAAAAAACCAACTTCCTTTAACAAAGTTTAAAATAATACTCCATTCAGTTTAAAATATAAGATAAACTTTATCTATTTATGTTTATCAAGAAATTAGTTAAAATCATTTTAAAACAATAAACACGTAAGACATGTATTTTTTTTCAAATATACCCTTATTAATAAAAAGAATAAGTAAAAAAGAGCAATAAATGAATTAAAGAAGAAAGAGAATATATGAGGATAAAATTAAAAAAAACTCATTAAATACTTAGATAAAAATAAATGTTATCTTATTAAAAAAAAAACCAATTTCCTTTAACAAAGTTTAGCTTATCCGGGGGGAGCAATACATCTGAAAGGTTTTCACAGGTAAATCCAAAGGGGAAGCAGCACGAAGTACAACACGAGTTGTTCTCAATATTGCCTTATTGTGCTCCTTCTCTTCTGCTTCTTCTCCCCTGTTGCCCTCGGTGTCACTTCACTAGATGAAGGTGTACACACACTATGCATAACTGGATCCTATATTTTGTATATATGATCATGGATTATGTGATCAATAATCTCTCCATGAGAGGATATGTGTGTGTGTGAATATATATATATATATATATATCTGTATGTATGCACGTGAATCACGGGGCATGGATGGGACTGAACAATGGAGTGGTCCAACTTGATGACATGCACATATGTACCCAAAAACCAGACTAGCTAGAGGTCACAAAAGGCTTTCGGGACAGTAGTGAGCTCCTTCAATTTTCCCCACATACTGATGCGAAGTTCGATGGGGCTTCTAAGCTCAGCTCCATTATATACTGACGTGGAAAGCTATCCTCGAAACGAACGGCCACCAATCACTTGCTTCTACCTTATTTAGATAAACCTAATCATTGCTCATCCTTGTTCCCAATTCTTTTTTAAGCACGTACGCACTATCTGCACGAGATTATAAGTTACAAGTTCACTGGATTTTGTTCCTGGCTAATTCTACGCTCAGTATTTACATGAATCCACTTCAGTTTCAATCAGCATTGCATTTTCTTTGATACAATAATCATCATTATATAGAAGAAGTAAGAGCATAACTGGTTCTCTCACTCACTCCTCAATATGGCTCGAACCAGACAGACTGGGAAGTCTGCAAAAGCACGTCCATCACTGTCTTTCTCCCTTTGTTGCTAGCTTTAGTTATTGTTTCGGCTCAAGCACGAGTCCCAAGCGACACATCTGGTTCGAACCAAGCAGACCCATTCTCTGCTTTTCTGGTCAAAGCCATGGATTTCTTATGGATCCCTGGTCGTTCTGGTTATCAACATGTCTGGCAGGTAAGTTTCTTGTTCCTCCCCGTGCGGTCAAAGAATATGCGCGCGTGTATATATATATAATATGAATCCTACTATGTCTATCTCTATTTTTTGTGGAAGCTTTGAGAAATATAGCTGGGAAACTAGGAAAGAAGGACTGGAACTCGTAACTGGACCAAAAACGACGAAGATAATGCTGTCGTCTGCAATTGTCCTCCTGCTGATGGTTTTTGT